CAGTGTGAGACAGATTCTCATTCCCTCACTAAGTGCCTGGACCTCTTCAACCAGGGGTGGGGCCTTGTGAGATTGCCCCATCCATGTTGGGATGGGGACTGGTGTTGTCATTGTGCTGGTCTTATTTAGCTGTCTATATTGTTAAGATTTCATGGATACAGCATCGCTGTCATGTCTAGAGGACCCTATCTCAAAGCAGGTCCTCTGGATCTGACAGTTTTCCTGCCCCTTCTTCCCTCAGTCTCACAGTCATAGGGGCAGGACTGAAGATGTATCTGCTGGGGTGGGGCCCCCTCGTCCATTGGGGTGCCCTCCCCAAGCCAGTTGTTCTCAGCACACTGACAGGCTTTCTAGTTGGTTTTCTTAAACACTCCTCACTTCCCGACTCTTGTTTTGTTTGTTTTGAGCGTCTCTTGCCCAGGCTAGCCTCCAACTTTCTATGTAGCCAGCAATGAACGAGCGCACTGATCTCCAACTTCAACTCCCCGAGAGCACTGGGATACAGGTGTGCGCCGCCATGTTCTGTTTTGTGCTTTGTTGGGAACTGCGCCCAGGGCTTGGTGGATGCTCGTCAAGCACTTTGTCAGCGGAGCCACCTCCTCGGCCCTTCCTGACACGGTGGGTCTTGTTGACGTGTACAGTGCATCTTCCTCTTCCCTGGTTAACAAAGACCCTTGCTGTGCAAATGGCACCTGCCTTCCCGCCCATCTGGAGCCCAAAGGTACTTGGAAAAGGCTTGTCAAGTGCGTAAATCACGGTGAAAATCTCTCAGGTGGAGATGTGCTAAATCTCCCACAAACTGTTCGAAAATGACTGAGGTTAGGAACGTTGACATACGAAACCCATAAAACCTAAACTTGTGAAAAGGTGAGTGAGTAGGTGTTGTAAAACAAAGGTAAGGGAAGGAAGAAGGAAAGAAGGTAACAAACACATATGAATTCATTTTTCTGACAAGAGGGATCCTAAATTCCCAAATGCAAATTAACTTCAAAGCAGGTAAGAACATTTTTATTTATTTATTTATTTATTTATTTATTTATTTATTTATTTTTTGGTTTTTTCGAGACAGGGTTTCTCTGTGTAGCTTTGCGCCTTTCCTGGGACTCACTTGGTAGCCCAGGCTGGCCTCGAACTCAGATATCCGCCTGGCTCTGCCTCCCGAGTGCTGGGATTAAAGGCGTGCGCCACCACCGCCCAGCCCAGGTAAGAACATTTTTACAAACTTTCTGCAAATATTTGTAGAGGTATTACTAGATATTTCCACATCCTAAGGACCGTCTCTTCAGGTGCTGTCGGGGGAAAAATGCCTGCCCAGCATCCTTTTGCTGAACAACAGCCAAGTTACAACAGGCTCAGGTATTCTGGGTGTGGGATACCTACAGGACATCCTGACAGGGTGTCTTCAGAACTATAGCACATCTGATCCGCCTGGAATGAGGACAGTGACACCTGCTGGCATCTTTCAAGAACTGCACCAGATTCATTTCCGTCTCATCATCCCACCCAAACATATGCTTATAGTCACAAACTGCTTTCCCTTTTACACAGAACTTTGAAACATTTAGTGAAGCCATTAATGGCCTCTCTAGAAGCAGAATCTGCACAACATAAAATGAACAGGTAAAAGGCAGAAGAGAAAAAATGTGATACCCCTAACGGGCTCAGTGAATATTCTGTAGAATACCATCTTGGTTACTGTCCTGTTGCTGTGAAGAGCCGTCATGAGCAAGACAAGCGTTGTAAAAGAGAGCATTTCATTGAGGTTTGCTTACAGTTTTAGGGGGTTAGTCCATGACCATTGTGGCTGGAAGCAGATAGACATGGTACTGGAGCAGGAGCTTAGATCCTTATATCCTGATCCACAGGTAACAGGCAGAAAGGGAGAGAGGGAAGGAGGGAGGGAGGGAGGGAGAGAGAGAGGGAGGGAGGGAGGAAGAGAGAGAGGGAGGGAGGGAGGGAGGGAGGGAGACCCTGGGCCTGGTGTGGGCTTTTGAAACCTAAAGGCCTACCTCCAGTGACACACCTCCTCCTACAAAGCCACACCTCAAACATATGAGCTGATGAGGGTCATTCTCATTCAAACCACCACAAACACTTAGGACATTTTGTAAAAGATGTTCGATGTGGCCAGCCAGATGGCTCAGCTGGTGAAGGTGCTTGTCACCAAGAGTGATGCCCAGAGTCTGGTCCCCCAAACCCACATGGTGAGAGGCGAGAACAGGCTCCAGCAGGTTTTCCTCTGACCACACTCGTGCAGTCTCTCTCTCTGGTAAAATAATTTTTAAATAATATTTGTTTTTGAGATTATAAGATGATGATGTCATTTCTCCCTTCCCTTTCCTCCCTCTAAGCCCTCCCATACGCTTCTCCTTGCTCTCTATTTCAAATCAATGCCCTCTGTTTTCATTGTTATCACATGCATCTATGTATATACATATATATTCTGCAATATAACTTGTCCAGTCCATGTAATATTATATGTTTGTATGTTTTCAGTCCTGACCGCTTGGCTTTGGGTACCCAAAGCAGCGTGCTCTTCCCTGGGGAAGACTGTTTCTCGCGCTCTCAGCATTCCTGGCTGCCCTTAGTTCCTCGTGTAGGGCTGCGGCCTCCTGGTCTTTCCCGTCCAGGGTAGCGTGTCTATTGCTGTCATCCTCATGTTTAGGCAGTCATGCTGGTGAGACCTGCTGGTTGTGACTTCTGACTTTACTCGAAGACACTTTTAAAAAAGAAATAGTAAATGTCTTGAAAGAAGACACAATCTCCCCCCCCCCCCTTTTTTTAAAATATTTTTGAAAGCTGTTCCCTGAATAAAGCTTATTAGTTTTAAGATGCCCGTCCTTTGATTGAGCTAGATCTTAAATTCCATCTGGTCAGCTTTTTCTTTTTAATTATCAGAGGAGTTAGGGTGAGGAGGAGAGTGGTGAGATTCTAACTTTAAGATTAGTTTAAGACCTGTGAGATAAGAAAGGAAAGAAGGTGACTGAAAACAGGAACTTAAGCCCTGCCTGTTACAAATCCAAGTAGCTGGGCCCAGCTGGTGGGGACTTCAGAGAGCAAAAGACGAGGCTCAAATGCCATCTGTGCCCGAACCTTATGTGACAGGATAGCATTTCAGTTTCAGGCAGCTTATGGGACAAGACCAGGATATCACAAGGGAGAGCCAAGGATCTGACGTGGGGTGACCCCCAAAGCCGCCCTATGGTACTCACATCTTCTCCTTAGCCTTAACTGTCATATAGCCACCCAAATGGAATGTGTCTCTGTTCTGCAAAGTCAGGCAGATTTCACAGGAGTGGTGACCAGTTTGTGCCACAGGATACCCATCTGTGGTGCACACTTCCTGCCACACATCGATGGTCTCTTTACCCTCCTCCCCCCATCCCCAAGACCCAGACTCTCCCTCCAGTCTGCTCAAAGTCCAAGATGACTGGTGAATCCACATGTCTCTTCACGGGGAAAATAAGAAGTATTCATAGTAATGTAGAAAGGAAAAGATGTCGCCCCAACACTATGCAGAGCGAAGGTGGAGGGACAGAACCACAATTCACAATGAAACAAAATGGAAAGGACTTGACATCTGTGAGGGTTTGAATAAGAACAGCCCCCATAGGCTCATGTATTGAAATGCTTCCACCGGGGAGTGGCACTATTTGAAAGGATTAGAAGGTTAGGAGGTGTGGCCTTCTTGGAGGAAGTGTCATGGGGGTAGGTTTTGAGGTTTCAAAAGCCCATGTCAGGCCCAGTCTCTCTGTCTCTGCCTCCAGATCTGGATGTAGCTTTCAGCCACTGCTCCAGTGACCTATGTGCCGCTGTGCTCCCTGCCACAATGATAGTGGACAAACCTCTGAAACTGTGAGCAAGCTCCCAATGAAGCGCTTTCTTTGATAATAGTTGCCTTGGTCACGGCCTGTTGTTTTGCATTCAATACAGTGGCTGCACCTTAAGCAACTGCTGTCCCAACCCACAATTGCAACTCCACAGCTACCAACAGCACTTCAGTTGCTGGGGTCGAAGCCAGGCCGGGCGGTGGTGGCGCACGCCTTTAATCCCAGCACTCGGGAGGCAGAGGCAGGCAGATCTTTGTGAGTTCGAGGCCAGCCTTTTACAGAGTGAGATCCAGGAAAGGCGCAAGGCTACACAGAGAAACCCTGTCTCGAAAAACAAAAACAAAAACAAAAAAAAAAAAAAAAGGAATTCTGTTCCCTCAGGCCCCCACTCTTATCATGGCTGCTAAAGGAAACTTTATTTCAATTTCTATCCTTCTATACAATTTGGGATTCAACGGTTGAGATGAAATCCTGGTAGCTCAGAGAGGCTGAATAGCAAAAAGCTAACCTCTCCTTGCTCAAGTATCCCCAAAAAAAGGGCCATCCTTCTGTTCAGGCCCCACTTAAGAACCCAAGCTGCACATGGTTCCTCCCTAGGAAAGAGAAGATCCTGCTAACACCACACACCTGGATCGATGGAAATGGAAATAAATGAACTTGTGTCAGAACATTGGCCTAGAGGTCATTTGTTACACAGCAATAGAAAACGGGGACAATGGGCTCGGGTCTGAGCCAATGCTTACTGCATTTCCCTTCAATATTACGTGTTATTGGTGGTATCACTTTGGATATGAAGCCTGTAGGTTACAAGTGAGGGAATGAGCAGTCTAACAGCCTGGTTCAGTAGCTTTGGGGACACGTTTGGATCAGTATTTGGTATACGATGATCCTTGAAAGATTTGATTTTATAAATTAAAGTAAGTTTAGATGTTTCTTTGAACATTTCAGGAGAGTGATCTAGCAATGACTTTCTATCTGCACAGGGATTAAAGGGTGCCACTCTGCCCATTTGTCTAGGGGCAGAGGTGACACACAGCAGATGTACTATACCCAAGTGCTGACAGACACAGCTTGTAGCTGGTGCCATCCTTTCTTGTCTACAGGATCGAACTTCTGGTAGCAAGTTCTTTACAGAATGAAAAGCAGAAATAATCTAAAAACAAGCCTAAATAGCAATGACATAAACAAGAAGTGTTTATTTCTCAATTAAGTCCAATTAGTCCAAGACATGTAAGGTTCTCCTTGTAAGAGATTTAGGTGTCAAAGAAACTTCAGTTTTCAGCCATAGAATCTTATTTGGTTTTAGGGAAAGTAGCCATCTGTTAATTACATTGCAAATGTTTTCTTCTGTGGTTGATTTGACTTGGTTAAGCCATGTAAGAAACCATGATTTTTATGAAACTAAAGTTCATTTATTATATGGATTCCTAGTTTTACCTAAAATTCTTAAATGACTTTGATTTGAAACAAGCTATAGACATAAATTCTGAATCTTTGACCCAACTTTGACTTGGTGTATGGTATAAAGTACGGGTCCAATTAACTTCTTCCCTCTACCTGATTATCCGATTGCCTCAGCATCTTTTCTAGAGTAATTTGGTTTTGCTCTGTTGATTGGAGAGGCTGCCTTTAGAATCAGGACTGGGCACTAAGTTTTATCATATGCAAGAGGCATTTATGGAGGGTCATGCTTTTCCTGTCTAAAATGCTAATGCAGTATAGTACTTAGCTAAATTTCCTTACAAGAATACTCATTGCTTTCCAGTCACAATGTAGTATCCTTTGGTTATGGACACATTAGAAGTATTTTGTTTTTAATTTATTGGAAGATTTCATCAATCCTTTCCCCCCCTTTTGTGCTGTGACTCTCAAGTTTATACCAGGCTATGTTGGTGCCCGAGTGTCACGCTGCCACTGGGGCCATAGAGATCAGCGTGGATTGTGCAGCTACCCGGGGCCATGGACACATCCATGCCCGAGCTTTGGCTGGGGACCATTGTGTCCGTGGCCCTGCCACAGCTAGAGTCTGTGTTAAAGTCCGTTGTTCCTGTTGCCGTGTGTGTGTGTGTGTGTGTGTGTGTGTGTGTGTGTGTGTGTGGCGGGGGGGGGGAGGGGAGAGGACACGCACAGTACTGGACAGGGTCTGAATCATCACATGGGGCCAGTTTGGAAAGCCCTGGGGCCACGCTGCTGCTGGGCCCATCCGGATCTGAGAGGCCTGCACTGCCACCTGGGGCCATGGTGACATCCAGCCTCAAGCTGCTGCCATGTCTGGGTCGCCGTCCTGCAGCAGCTGACGTTTGTGTGGATATCCACTGCCTGTTACCACAGGGGTCCATGAGAATGCTGGAGTACAAGGACCACATTGAGCTGGCCTCACTCTCCTCACCAACCCCCACACAGGAGAGCTGATCCTGAACTTCCCAAGAAGGAATTATGGACCCTGATGACTGCCCACCTTCCCGCACAGGAAAGCCGGCAGGCCCCTAATGGGAGAGCTGCGCCCCATACTTGGGAGGTCTCACCCCACCCCTCACCACAGGCCTGGGAGAGCGGACTTGGCTCTTTACCTGAGTGGAGTGGTCCCAGCCTCCTGATGCAAACAGCTCAGCTGCTACCCCGGAACACATGCAGCTTGGAGTTGGCACACCCCAACACCTAACTCCATCTATGGCCTGCTGGAGCGCGAAGGGACTGATCCTGTGGAACCATAGTGCAGCATCTCCATCACTCCAGACAACAGCAGGGGATGGGGGAGGAATGTCGGTGGGGGTCCAGTACTGATGGTGTACCAAAGCCAGAGGTCTTGAATCTGACTAGCAACTCATTACACACTGTACATTTGCAAGTGAAGCAGGTTAGACAAAATGGTCTACTGCGGGATACACAGCAGCTCCCAATGCCAGTAAGGTGAAGGGAGAGGCAATGGAGAGGCGGGAAAGGCAGAGGAACCAAGTGTTTTTCTTTTCTTGTTTATCTTTTAAAAAATATTTTTTAGCTTTCCTCCTGGGGGTGGCGGGCACTACAGGAGGAAGGGGCAGATGCGAAGGGCCTTGGAGATGAGTGGGACTGGGGTGCATGATGTGAAATCCCCCCCAAAAGAGAACTGTTTCACTGCTTCCCAAGAACTCATCGTTGTGAGACATCAACTGTCTGAGCATTAGTCTAGTAACTGAAGTGCTCTAACCGCACGTGGCCTCACAGGCGAGTGCACTACACAGGAGGGGAAGATTTGTACCCGAAGTGTGCTTCCAATTCCCATGGAGGAAAATTCCGTCACACGACCAAACAATCCAAGTTGACATTAAACCAACTACCTCATTTTTGTCACGTTATACACAAACTAAGGATCAAAGTGTCTTAATGCCTTATTAGCCATGTTCTAGTTCATAGTGACACTACCCTTTCTGGTGTTTATTTCATATTACGGTGCTTTTAGGACATTCCCATACTAGACACCTGTTGCCTGTACTTTAATGTTTCACTGAGATCCCAGAGGATTCCCTACCAGTTACATTAATGCGCCCACACACTCTGAGCCCAACTAGTTTACAAATAATCCTTTCCAGAGAAACCTCTCTGGCCCGAGTTCCTTCAAAGGCTACCTTTGATGAAGCTTGAGTTGTATACGCATGCTGACCAGAGGTTGCTATTGGGCATTTTCTATCTCTTACTGAATCTGGAAGTTGTCTATTCAGCTTATCTGGCTGGCTAGCTTAGCCAATGGTGGTCCTGTCTCTGCCTCTCAAGGGTTAGGATTGTAGGAGGCTCCATGCCTGCCTAGATTTTTTATGTGGGTCCTTATACTTGTGCATTGATCACTTAACTTTTATTCATCTTCCTAACCGTTCAGATTTTTTGGAATCTCTTACTGAACATGGAGCTCATTGATACAGCAGCTGGTTAGAAAGCTCCATGGGTCTTCCTGTTTCGTCGATAAGATCTGGGCTCATCTTTACTATTTACTATTACAGGCTAGTGTCCATCTTTTTTTAAAAAAAAATGAGATTGCTAAGGATCTCAATTCAAGTCCTTAAACTTGTGTAGAATTCATTTTTAGCAAGGGAGCCACTTCCCAGCTCCAAACCCTTAATCATTATTTGTGGCCCATCTTTCTAAATGGGCTCCAAGTGTATCAAGATACTGATCCTCTCAGGCCCTCTGAATAGGTGAGACAGTTGATTGGCTTGATCTGTTTGGGAGGCATCTAGGCAGTGGTACCAGGTCCTGTGCTCATTGCATGAGTTGGCTGTTTGAAATCTGGGACTTATGCAGGGACACTTGACTCAATCTGGGAGGAGGGGACTGGACGTGCCTGGACTGAGTCTACCAGGTTGATCCCAGTCCTCGGGGGAGAGGGGGGCAGGAAGGGAGAGAACAAGGGAATCTGTGGCTATTGTGTAGAACTGAATAGTATTGTAAAATAAAAAATAAAAAATATATATATATATAAAAGATACTGATCCTCTTAACTGGCCATGGACAAGCAGAACTATCATGCCCTGCAATGTCAGCATCCTTGAATATGCTGTAATGTGCTGGAGCCACAAAACACTTGGGATCCATGACCTTAACAATGTTTCCTGTTTGTCTAACTCCGTAATACCTCTACATAGTTAGATTCATCTCGAATAACTTGACATTCGCCCTTCTCTCTCTCCATTTTCATCCTCTGACATTAATTTCCTTAAGTCTAACTGGTCATTTTAATTGGTAAATTAAACTTTCATCCTTTAATAGGCAGCACTCAATTCTGGCTAGTCGCGCAAAGCTTTTGCATAATGCTTAAAAGACTAAATTTTGAGGTACCTATCCATCTTGAAAGGGTCTGCCTTTAAAAAACTGAAAAAGCCAGTCACGATGGGGTGCACTCCTTTTAAGTCTAGCACTTGAGAGGCAAAGGAAGCAGAGACAGGTAGACCCCTGAGTTTGAGATCAGCCTGGTCAACAGAGTTCCACGAACCAAAGCTAGACAGAGAAACCCTGTCTCAAAAACAATACCACCAAAAACCAAAACTTTCTATTTTAAGCCTCCAAATCTATAGCTTTCATGATTATAAACTATTCCATGGTTCTATCTTTAAGTAAACCTCAGAGATGTGAGAAGACATGCTTAAAGAAATACAAGCCGTCCCTGGGATATTTACACATGAACTTATGATAAAGCTAGCTGCTGTGTATTCTTGGCTAAATGTGTCGATAACACCCAATGGTTGGCAAGGCCACAAAATCAGTATGTAAGACCTTTTGAAAGTTTCAAAACTTTTTCTTCAAAACTTGCACTGTGGTTATCAAAAACTATTTTAAACACAAAATGATTAGATTCTATGTTATCTATAGGTGTTCCTGATTAACTTTACCAAGAATTTTACTTTTGAAGAATATAAGCCAGAACTTTTTAAAGCTCTTGTTTCTACATTCGTTTCCAAAATCTAAAAGAAAATCCTCATGAATGTCTGCTATCACATACGGATCTCATGTCTAAAGATGTGGCAGAAACACCCACTGCAAGCCAGGAAGAATCTGTACAATCTGTGAAAATGGTATCCACAGCCGTCCTTCCACCCCAAGTCCATGACTGGTTATGTCCCCCACTGTGCTTCCCCAGTTACCCACTGCCTGTGCAGTACTTGTTAGTCACGAATGCTTATGTATCTCAGTTTGTATTATCCTGTAGTAGCCACAACTTATATACTGATAGCTAATTCCTTCTAGTCCAATAGTTTCTCAGCCTTCCAAATGCTGTGACCCTTTTAGTACAGTTCCTCATGTTGTGGTGACCCCAAACCATAAAATTATTTTCATTGCTACTTCATAACTATAATTCTGCTGTTATTAATCATAATGTAAATAATTTTGGAGACAGAGGTTTGCCTAAAGAGTTCTGACCTACAGGTTGAGAACCACACTTACTCTACCACTCCTTACTCTAAACAGCTGTGACTCATTGATGGTACCATCTTCCTTATATTTTTCTCTCTCTAGTCATTATTTCCTTGCTTACCTAGCTTAAATTCCAGATCATCACCACAACCTTTTCCTTTTCACTGGTCAATCATGTAATCTTGGCAAAGCAAGGACTTTGCTTAAACTCAGCCTATGTACTTTCTGCCTACACCAAATACTGCTTCACATTGATACCTATCATCCCAAGGAGCATTTCAACTATTTCTCATTCTTTCAATGTACAGCATTTCTTTATTTTCTATTTTCTTTAACTGCTACCCATTTCCTATAAAATCTAAAACCAAACTCCTCTGGCTAGCCTCCTGCTTCTAAACACCTCAAGCTCAAAATATCTTTTTTCACAACCACACTCTCAGCAAATTTCACTAACTTTACGTCCTACTCTACTATTTTTAATGCTACCACCCATGGCCAAGGCAGCATTTTCTTCCACCTGGACCACTGTGGTAGCCTCTCAAGTTCACTGTCACTGATTCCCCCATTTTCTTCAACCTGCACCTGACCAGCCACTACAGTTCCTATTACAACTCTCCCTGAGCTTTAGGTATTCCATGCTTTCAATCTTCTTTCATATCAACAAAATATTCAGACTCTAAAACTGTACAATTACTATTTTGTCATGTCTGAATTTTTTTGGAGGAATTTCATGTTTTACATGCCAACTTAAAAAGTTGCATATATTTTCAAAAATATATTCTAGACTCTATAACAAAAACACAAAATAACTGGCTGCCATGGATATAAACCCATGCTAGCCCAAGTCACACAACTTAGCACATTTAAAAATCAGAACAGAGAATTAATGTTACCAGTTCATTTTCTTTAGAAATTCTGATGCCCCAATTTAAAAACTAAAGAGAAAATTAGCCAAAACTGTCACAATGTCATATATTTGCAATGCTTTCAAAGCCCAACAGTGATTTTAAAAAGAAATTAAACATGCTCTCATTGAATTTTTAAAAATCTATACAATTCAAGCTAATGAAATATTTTATTATACATAGTAAAAGTGTTGTTGTTTAAAAAAAAAAAAAAAAAAAAAAAACATTTCCAGGCCCAGATGTCTGTAGGAGTATATGAGGAATGGATTCCACTCGAGTATAAGCAGCAAAACTACTGAATGAAACCAAAAATCCACCAACTCCTTATAGTAAATGCTAACATTCACCGAGGCTTGAATTCCTGTGGCGTCAGTAGATATATTTTTAAAGTATTATAAACATGCTTATGATGCATAGGAAGATGGAGAACAAAAGATGCAGTTGCATACCATGTGGATTCCCAAATTTTCTAATTTACAACTTGTTAAGAAGGACAATATACAAAGAAAGTATTTTAAAATAGTGTATGATTCATTCACTGGTAAGTGACCTTTTTACTCAAATAAATACCAAATTTTGCCATTTTAAAGTCACAATGAAATTCAGTTTTCAATCCAAGAGGAGGGAGAATCAACTGAAACATGGTCATGAGTTCAGGATTATATATATATTACAATCTGCCTTATAATACACTTGTGGCTTTGTGATAAAAATAACTCAGGGACATATGGAATTCAAGCTAATTTGCATAACTGTCACAAGAAAAAAAGCATTAAATGCATTTCTGAAATAAGTATTTTCATTTAATTTCAGAATCTCAAAACAGCAACAGACCTCGGCCTTGTTTTAAAAAAGTTTAGTTAGACACTAAGCTAGCTAAATAACCTTACCGCGAAGGTTTCAACATAACTGTATAGAAAAGGCTTTCCCTCCAATCTCAATCTTACAGAAGTGGCAGGGTGAAAGGAAAAGGTAGACAATTTCTTTAGCAGCATATATGGCTAAGTCCATCAACCACCTTAACTAGAGTGTCTTTACTGACCCCACTAAAAATAACTGGGCTAACATCAAAAGCTGCCCCTTTCATAAGCCCAAGACCATTTCAGGGTCCAGGTAAATAAAATACTTTTGAAATATTTCAAAACCCTTTAAACATAACCCAGAGGAATCACCTCTTCACTGTAAGGAAGGAGGAACAGAGTAAAAGACTCACGCTAAACTCATTGCCAACTCTCTGAACAAAAGCAATAAAAACAATGGCGGATTAGCTAAGCTCTGTGCTCTAACCAAACTAGTCAATTACAGTGATTTAAGTGGCAACAGCCCATCTGACTGGGCAGCCTGACAGTTCAGAATACTTTCGCAATAATTGTTTTTTTTTTTTTAACGAAAAGACACTAAAACAATCTGGTCATGCAATTTTCATTTATGCATTCTGCATCTCTTTGCCAATCTTGTAGCTAAGGATCTTGTTCCAGTCGATCTTAGTACGTGTAACTGGCAACTGTCGACGTAAGGCTTTGAAGGTAGTGTCTGACATCGTCTGATAGTTCTCACTGATGGCAGTCTACAAAAAACAATAGTTAGATATTTAAAGCAAACCAAAGAAACAACTACGTACAACACAGGGCATTTTCAGAATAATCTTAGGCAGCCCGTTTCACTGCTTAACAGTGAAATAAAAATCCCAACACGGACTTACAAGCTGTTTCAAAGCAGCTACTAAATTTCAGAACCAGCCCTCAGTGGACTTTTGATAATCATACCTGGTATTCATTTTCTGCAGCTTCTACAATCTTTATAAATTCTTTTGCTGTTTGCACCTCATTCTGAAACAAAAGCAAAAGTAAGTAAAAATTGAACCACTGTATTTTTTAATTGACTTTTTTCCTCCAGTGATGGGATTGAACAAAGGAATTTGTGAATGTTAGGCAAGCATACTACCATCAACCCATTATTTTTTTTCATTCAATTATATATATAAATTTTAAATGCCGAATGTCATTTATTGAAGGAGGGAGGTCTTAAATACAGGCTTACAGCACAATGAGAGAACCCCGGAGGGCAGAAGTTCGCTACTGATGTTTTACAATCTTGCATCTAAGCTGTTAACGCCCATTATTCAGCATACACAGACAAGGAACTTCCCTTAAGCATTCAGGAGGGTGGAACCTGGCAGGGAATTAGCATAGGGAGGATATCAAGGTCAAGATTGGCAAACAAGGCAACAGTTACCCCAAAATGGGGGCCAGGGACTTACAGGTCACCCTTTTATTAAATAATGAGCTTCTAACTTGCAACCCATTATTTTTAAAGCCATGTTTAAGTCAATAAATAGTGCAGATGAAGATTATAACAAGCACAGAAGACAATAGTGGGGCTGGAGAGATGGCTCAGAGCTTAAAAGCTCTTGTTGCAGCCAGGCAGGGTGGTACACGCCTTTAATCCCAGCACGTGGGAGGCAGAGGAGGAGGGGAATGG